GGGAGGAGGAGGAGGAGGAGGCGGTGGCGGAGGAGGAAGAAGAAGAGAAGGAGGAGGAGGAGGAGGAGGAGGCGGCGGGCAGCGGCCCCGCAGGTGAGCGGCCCACGCGTGTCCGTGGCGGGGCGGGGGGTGTCAGCGGGACGGGGCTGCTCCCCATCCTCCGCCGGGCGGACAAAGGCGCGGCCGGGGACGGGGCGGCGGCTCCCCGGACCCCTCCGGCTGCAGCGACCCTCGCGGGGTGGGACCCCCGGAGCATCTCGGCCCCGTGTGCCCGGCACACCCTCCCCACCTTGGGGCTGGGTGCGGGGGTACCGACCCCGGGATGGGGTCTGGCAGGGCGGGTGTGTCATGCCCTTGCCATGCCGAGGGTGTTACAGGTGTCACTGGTGGTTTGGGGGGAGCAGCGGGGCAGGTGCTGGTCCAGGCTGCCCAAAGCATCCTTCGCGGCAGCGGTCCCCGCTGTGCATTGTGCTCCCCGTGGAGGAGGTGAAGACACGTCCTCGCCATCACCGTTGTATCGGGGCAGTGTCCAACAGGGTGGGTGCTGGCCTTGAGCATCCCCGGTGGGACCTTGGAGGTCAAGTAGCTCTGTGAGCATCAAGGCTTCCCGGTGTCCCAGCTCCACGTGCCGGCAGCAGGGAGAGTGAGGTTAGCGATGACTTGGTGTCCCTGGAGCCCTTGTTGTTACCTGTGCCAGAAGGTATGTTTGCAGCTCAAACCCCACACTCCTGTGGTACCCGGTGGGTGTGTGAGGGCAGGAAAGATCCATTGGTTCTTCTGTGCTGGGAGAAATGCACCTCAGTAGGTCTCATCCTGACCCTGTTGTGTTCCAGGGCTTACACAGAGCTGAGGAAGGTGCTGTGACAATGGGAATAAATGGGAATAAATTATCAATGAAGAGTGTGAGGAGGGTAGAGGTAAGGGGTGGATGGGAGGGCTGAGCTCTCAGGTCAAGCTCTCGCTGGGTGTCGTACACTGACAGTGCTGGTCACTCCCAGGGAGATGGAAACACTGATGCTCTTCAAAGCTGAGACTGCAGTTTACCTATAGATTAAGCAGACAAAACTCTGCTGGAGTCCTTGTATGGAGCTTTGTTCACTTACTTTAGCAGAGAACTTGGCTTCGCTCTGCATTTCCAAAGCTTTGTGTTCAGACACATGCAAGTACTATAGTGCTGATCCTTTCCTATTTTGTATTTATTTTTTCTCTTCTCCTGGAAGATGTTTGGTTTAAGTGCGTTGAGCTTCCTCTGATGTGAAAGGGATGCATTCTGCTCTTCTGGTAGCTTTAGCAGTCTGAACAAGTGGTTTAATCAACTTGTTTTATTTGGCTAGAAATAAAATCAGCTGAAGATCTGGAGCTGCTTGTTTTCAGCCTTTACTTCCCTTTTTTTTCCATTGAGGTTTCTGTCTTTGCTTTTTCTGGAAGAAACAGAATGGCTTAAGATTAGGAGTTTCTGATAAAGGTAGGATGGGTTGAGTGCTCTTAAAGCAGAAGCAGTTTCCTCTGTTGTGCCACGATCAAACTGAGTCCACTGAACAACTCGCTGGCATGTGCAGCACAGTGTGACCCTCTGGGTGCCAACCAGGGGGATGCACGTACCCACCCCAAGCTTCCTGGAGCACATTTCCCCCTCTGACCTCCTGTGTTGTGTTTGTTTCCATCAGTATCAGGTGGCATCGTCTCTCCCACCCCTGGGCTCCAATGGGTTTATTAAGAGCATCACTCTCATATGGGACAAGTGCAACTGTTGCAAGGCAGGAGGCAACTGGTTTAGCAGTGGCTTGGGGTGCTCCCAGATGCCTATGTGGGATGCTCACATAACATCCTTTGTCTTCTGCCATAGAAGCTGTCAGAGATGCAAGCTGGGGGGGATTTTGTGTCTGTTCCTCATGCTGCCATGGGCACCCTCAGCCCTGTGTTTCAGTTCTCCCTTGGGAAGCGGGAGCACTGAGGATGAGCATTCCTCCCCGCTATCCCTGGGTGTGCTGAGCTCGGGTTGTGGAGGCCAGCATGACCCTTTGAAGTTTTAAAGTGCTAATTATTACTGGCTACAGCCACTTGATCTCAGAATTGCTCTCTGGTGCCTTTACTCTGCAGTGATGGCCAGGGTAGGAACACACGGGCAGATTATGTCTTCTCCAACAGCCCAGTCTGTTAGTCCTGAGTGTGACAGGTTGAGATTAGCCCTGGCTGATGAAGGATTGCTGGTGTGCTCGTGGGCTGGGTGGAGTTTAGGGCACCTGAGGGGGGATGAGGCAGTGGTGGGGGGAGATGGTGGGCTTGGCAGCATCCCCCTGTGTGATGTGGGAGCCTGTGGAGGTGCCATGGGTGGGTGGTATGGCTGGGGTCTGTGTGGGAGCTGGTCTCTGTGGGTTTTATGGGGCTTTTCTGTGCTACCATGACTGCTGTGACACTGGAGTCTTGTGCAGAGGTTTGCTCTGAAAGAGCATTAAGCACTGAAGGTATAGCAAAGCCAGTGAACATAATGGGTTTAGCTGAAACCCTCCTTTAGCTTTAATGCAAGCATGTTTTCAACATTACTTTTCCAATTGAGTAGGTAATTAATGCATTATATGCTCTGTTGCATGAAACAAATGGGTCTTTTCTCATACACATCATTAGAAAGGCTTCCCTTAATGCCCATGGTGTTATCACTGATAAGAAATGGGTGTGAGAGTCCTCACAGTCAGTGTTGCTCAGCATTACCAAGATTTCAAGTCAGACTTCAATGCATTTCTCATTCCTATTTAAGACGCACTTCAGCTTTCACTGAGCTGCCTGTTTGCTCCACTCTCCTTCTCTTCTTCCCTTTCCCAGTTTCGTGATGTTTATTTTTCTTTCCGAGCCTGTGATCATGTTAAAATCCCGGATTTTGTTTTTAAGAGAAGTAAATTGCTAATCCCCGTGTTTGTGGAGACAAGCTTAGAAGTATCCCCTGCCTTATCACCAAAGCCTCCAACACCCGCCAGGGAGACTCTGCCTCTTCCTTTTATCCACAGCAGTCTCGTTTCAAGCAGAAGCTGGAGCTTTGCTGGGGAAGCTGTTTTGGGGATGGCTGTTGGGTGGGTGCTTGTTTTGGAGCAGAGATGTGGCTCCTGTGGCCAGTGTGGTTCTGGTTGGACTTTGCTTCCATAAAGAACAAAACTGCTCTATTCCACCCGTTCCTGTAGGGTGTTGTTGAACACTGTGGGTCTCCTTGAAGGGTGTTTTGTTCTGACTCTTTTTTTCCAGCCCCATGCACAGCAGACGGGTGGGCTGAAAAGCCCAAACCTCCTTTCACAGCCTGGGTCAGCACAGGAGTTGCACCCAAACCTTGGGTTTTGGCATCTTTAGACTGTACAAAATGTTTCAGATCCCAAAAGCTGTTGCCTTCTTTCCTCCCTGGCGTTTCTGTTGTGCTCCACCTGCCTTGCAGGGTCACCAGCTCCCAGAAATGATGCTGGGTCTGACTCCTCACCTCTGAACCTCATAGGAGGGGACAATGAGCAGTTTCTGCTGCAGCCACAGGGCAGGAAATGCAGATGGCCCAGTGGCTCAGAGCAGTTAAACCACGGGAAGGTGTCACATTTGCTACGGAAATGTGTGAAAGCTGAGTCAGGGTGTGCAGTGACGTCTGATGGGTCTCCAGCCTCTGGCATGGGGCCACCTCTTGCTGAGGTGCTGCAGCTCAGAAGGAGGGGGTGCAGCCAGAGCCCCCTCAATGGGTGGAGGCTGTGGCTTTGGGTGGGATTAGCTGATGGGTTTAGCTTGTAAAGAGGAGCCTGGCAAATCCCCGGGGGTGTTGGGGGTGACCTGGGTGACTGTCTGGGTGCAGGGGAGGTGTTGGGGCGAGGAGGGGACTGGTGAGTGCTGGCTTCAACTCTTCATCATCCAGCTGGAGAGCTGGAGGGTTTTACTTTTGTGCAGGTACAGGACTGTGCACCCCATGCTTGCACAAGGTATAGGGGGCAGGTTTGGGGGGGGTGTTCCTGCAGTACCAGCAGTATTGTTGTGGGGAAAAGGCTTTGGTCCAAGCCATGGAGCCATCAGCAGCCAGACCCTGCCATACTGGGCCTGTGTTCCTCGAGGGGTTGGGAGCTCTCAAATCCTGGTAGGACAGAAACAGCCAGCTTGCTGAAGGGCAGTTTCAGGACATTGTGCCAGTGCTGGTCCCTTTTGTAGCTCTGGATGACTCTTTCCCTCTTCCCATTGAGCCATTACCCCCTTTGGTAGAGGTCTTCCCACCTCTGTATGGGTTCATGCAGATACCTACCTGAATGCCCCTGGTCTACCTCTGACCCCGTGGGAGACAATCAGAGGGAGCCAGAGGGATGAGCTGGAGCTTTCCTCCTGCTCATTGCTTGGGAAGGCAGCTTAAGCTGTCCTTGTTTGAGGGCTTGGGATTGTGTTCAATGTGTTTACTGAGATAACTTGTATTCAAGGTGTCAGCAGGATTTAAATTTATTTAAAGAAATGGAAATGAAGTTATGGATATGAAGGCTGAGGATAAGGAGGATGGTTCTTGTTCCTTGGGATGAGTACAGGAGCAGCCAGGGCAGAGAGTGGCTTTTTCCAATCAAGTAATAAATTGTGAGGTTTGTAGCTTTGAGCTTAAAATAAAGGGATGTTGCCCACAGCAGAAAATGTCACTCCCTGCCTCCACGTTCCCATCTGAGTCATTCTTGTATCAGATGCACCCAACTGTCCTGACTCAAGATTTTGAGATTCTGGGACTTAACGACGCTCGTGAATATCAGGATATTTTTTAGAGGATCTACAGAGCATCCAAGGTCTTGTTTGTTATCTTCTCTCTGCTGAGGTTTTGCTTTTTTTTTTTTTATTTTAAATGATAGCTGAGATTCAGACATCACATCACTGAGTTGCCACTTGGAAAATGCCATCTTGGAAAATGGCACTGGCAGTGTGTGGTGATGTTATTTATCTGGCTGCTCTTGGTAATACCCAAACACCAGCCTGTGGGGGGGGTGGGAAAAGGTGCTGGAGCATGGAATAAAGTGGTTTGTCTGAAGCTGTGTGGTGGGCAGGAGGTGTCCCAGTGCCTTTGTTGGTCCTCTGGGCTCTGTGAGGATGGCTGGGACAGTCAGGACAGT